ACTTTACTCTGACTTAAGTCTGAGTAGTCAGACAGCATTTTTCTGGAGTGCACACACACACACACACACACACACACACACACACACACACACACACACACACACACTTTATTCTGGACTGATAGACTATGAAGTCTTTTATTTATTATTCATTGCTGTTGAACAGCAGTGTGGACAGAGCCTCTTCTTGGTGGGTCCCGCACTTGATGGTGACTTGTGCCATTGGCTTGACGTTGACCTCTACTGTTGTTCACCACATTCACATTGAGTTCCTGGTGAAGAGTCTGGGGTTCCTGTTGTACAGTTTTAGGCAGTCCAAGCTCCAAGTGTGGGGCATCGAGTCAGGCCTTGTAATAAATCCAGGCAGTGCACAGGTTGGTCAGTCTGGCCTTGCAGTTTCGGGCAACAGCTCTGTCTACCAGGAGCTGGTGTTTTGTTCCTCTGGTAATCCTACAATTCTATTTTTGTGCCTCGCTCATGTATTAACTGTAAATGTTGAAAAAAATCTATTAGTTGAGCAGCTCTTGGAGCTTTTTTGTTTCAACGGTTTTCTGAATTCTCATCCTGATCACCAGCTTCATGCAGTTCTGTCTGGTGTTCATGGGCTTACAACAACATAATAAATCGATTATTTTTCAGGGTTAGTAATTATCAGTTTATTGAAAGATACAAATTCATTATGTTATTTTAATAATAACCAAAACTGCTCGGTGAATAATTGAATTAAATGATACAAGTTGAATTCTAGTTTAAATCTGACCACATAAAGGCGTATTTTCAGTAACTCTTCTGAAAATCTGCCTCCTCCAACCTACTTCAGGTAGAGTCCCTCCTCCTTCCATGAAACAGCTCACCTGTGTGTCTGTGCCTGAGCTTGTTCTTTGTGTGTCTGTGAAGAACCTGTAAGTTTTATTTTTTCCCTCTTTCAACTGTTTGTCTTTAGTAACTTAAGCTTGAGATCTGTGGACTCTGTAGAAAACAACTCAAAACTCTATTGTGTTTGGTTAACTTTTTTCTGATGGCCAAACTCCTGATGTCTCTTTGCCTTTCTACAGCTCTTTTAATAACCTTTTGTTGCTGTTAATGCTTCAAACCGTTTGTGCGTGCTGCAAACTGAAACTGTGCTGCATGCAGTTTCTAGTTTTTCTAGTTTAAACATGTGAGGAATGTTTCCCTAGATGCAAACATCGATAATCAGATTTAATGTCTGCATGTGATTCCTACTCTTTAAACTCGAGGTTGTGAACTCTGCAGATTGGGACAGTTTTGCTTTTCTCTGTTAAAATCCCAGAACCAGAAATGTGCGAGGCTCTGCTCTGAGAACAAGAACCAGATCACAACTGGGTAGATTTGAGGGTAGGGCACCGGGCTGCTCTCTGAGAGGAAGCAGGAACCATGCTCTCCTGAGTTTTAAATGCACTTTAGAACAGCACACAGCAACACTACATATGAG